ATATTGGATCTATAATAGTCATGCACAGACTCAATTGACTCGATTGGTTCAGCTGCTGCGCTTGTTGATGTAGTTAGTATGAAATTGTTAAGATGCATTGGCTCATTTCTTTTCCTCTTACCTCGTGCTAGGTATGGAATTTCAATTGTAACATTATTTTCATCTGCAAATTGTTGTATCGACTGCCAAAGATCAGTAAAAGAATCTGGAGTACGAGAAGTTTCAAAACTTGTTATAACACTATTGATTATCTCTACTGCTTTTCCCAAGGTGGCATTTTTGTCTTGCATCATGTTACTCATGACATTAATGATGCTAAGTACTTCGCGTATAACAAACAAATTTACAATAAAAGAACCTTTTTGTAAATTAGTAAGTATTCCTGTTGAAGTAAAAGTTCTATTAGGATTTTTAAATACATTAAAATGAAATGTGTTTTACAATTTATAAATATTACCTAAAGCTTCATTTACATCTTTGTCATTGTCATTTTCAATTTCTTCTTGTAATACATGAATAATTGCTTGGTAACAGTCTAAGACAGCATCACAATTTTTGTACCTGCAATTCCACCTTGTATCACTTATTTTTCCAATTGTTTTAATTTTTAACCCCAATTTTTTTTGCATATCAATGAGCTGTTGATTTTTTGTCGGATAAGAAAAATGAACATAAATACTTTCTAACGTATTAAATAAACATCTTGTATCCTTAAATAAAAAAGTTAAACACAAATTAAAATTTACACATTAGTTCATACATTTATTACACTTACTTTTACAAATTTACACATGTCAACAACAACTAGATTAACACGGTGTGCCATACAATGGGTATATACTGCGTAAGGATATTTGTTTTGAATTTTGGCTTGAACGCCGTTAAATTTTCCAGCCATAACGGAAGCTCCATCATATGACTGACCAATAATTTGTGCTTTATCACTTAAATTACAAGCTTTGAAATAATCAAAAATATGTTGACTTAGAGCTTGGGCATCTTGTTTAACAGAACAATCTATAAATCCTAAAAATCTCTCATGGATATTTAAATCTTTTGTGTACCTAACACATAAAGCCATTTGTTCTTCCTTATAACAACTGAAAAAATATTTATAGAACACATTTACAACACAATTTTTATTGTTTATTATAATTTTAAGTTATTAATAAATATTAGGTTAAGTACCAACCGTGCTTCATCACACATTACACCAAACACACCATCTCCTATTTCTTGTATAATTGTGTCTCTTACACTATCAGCACACAGACTAATAAGTTGTTCTTGTATTGAATGACTAGTATAGTTAATAGAACTTTTAAATTTTTCAGCAAATTCAGGTATATGTTTGGAAAATAAAATACAAGTTTCTATGAAATTCCCTAAAAAAATTGAGTTGGACTTGGGTAAGGGGGATAAGTCTAAACCTTATTTTTTATATTTACTGATAAAATTGTTTTGGTGTAATAAATATTATAGATATACCTCGATTTAATGATGTCTTGCTCTCATCATGACCTCTATATGCTAATCCTTGAGAAGCTATATGTATAACTATGTCTATTAGCATTTTAACATATTTTCTGTTAGATTCAACCACCAATTTATGATTTGACATCAATTGTGTATGAACACTACTATGTGATTTCCCAGACCTATATGCAATCCATCGGGCCATAGATGTTAAATGAGCTTCAGTCCCATTATGTGCTTCTAGCTTTGTTAACTTTTTATCTTTTTTCCCTCTGGATCCGCTTAACTATGAAATTAAATATATTATTAAAATTTGCATAAAAATATGACTAAATAATATTTTATAAAATACTTACTTTTTTCCAATTTCTGAATCCTATTGATGTAAATGAAGGTTCTACTGAGCCTGTCCCAAAAATTCGGCATGCATAACAAAATATGGCATCTTCAGAAACACTATATTCAACCCATTCAAATTTGTTATAGTATGATTCACTGAAGCTCCGGTTTTGCACTCCAAACTTGCTCAAAGGAAACTATTTTTATTTAATAAGAAAAACATTATTAAGATATTTATTTTTTCTGCATTTACAATTATAGCTAATATCAATAGAAAAAATATTCTTAAGGTGGCCATAGGTGGTGACTCCACCCTGGCACCCTATTAATAACAAAAATTAATTTATTTTATTTTAAAATTTTAGTTACCTTCATTTTTGGCTGAATAGGACCTGAATTTAGGTGTCCTAAATCATCGATAGTCTGTCTGGTATTTATAGTACTGACCACATCAATGGAGCAAGACGCAGAGCTAGACGTTTCTGCCTCGACGGGCTCGAC